CGATGCTGAGGGCGCAGACACTGCCAGGGATGCAAACGCCTGGCCAAAGACCACCACTGAGTCTGATTGCCCCAAGGCCAGGTGCTGTCATGGGCAGGATTTGCTTTCTGCCCCTCTTGCTGCTTACGGGGGCCGGGGTCGTGCGGCAGCGGGGTGGGGAGAGCCCCGGCGATGCCCTGCGCTGGTCCCCGGCTGTGCCCTACAGCCAAATCCCGCTCGGGTTCCCACCCGGAGCCACAGCTTGCTTTGTGCCTTGCACAACCCAGGGCACATTTTCTTCTTCCATGAGGACTTTTGGGGACAAGGAGTGCTTCTGCCAGCTAAGAGCAGAGAGGGTTGGAGTGTGAGGAGGATGTGCCAGGCAAAGGGCCCTGGGTTCGGTGTCCCCGGCAAGAGCCCTCTCGTGTCGGTGGGCATCCCAGGCATCCCTTCCCCTGCCAAGGGAACCGGGGTGTTGGCATCTCACCGGCAGCCAGGAGCGGGAGGTTTGTGAGGATGCTGGAGAGTTGGGGAAGGCTCAGCAGAGGAACTAGGCTCGGAAGAAGTGCTGGTGGCAGCAAACGGGCTGGGCCTATTCTAAAATATTTGTAGAAATGGCTGTGGAAAAGGGATCGCCAGCAAAATCAGCTTCGACGAGAACCACATAAACTGCATCATGCCTCAGCGAGAGGCGAGCAAGAGGCAATGCCTCTCTTGCAGGCACGCAGGGCCAGGGACCAAAGAGAAATCCAGTGGTGAGCTCTCCTATAAATATATCTCGCACCTCGGCAGCGTAAATGATGTTTGCATTTCAAAGAGGATGCCTTCATGGTGGCTGGGCACCATTTCTGTGTTTGCAGTCCTTGCCGGTTCAGGTGGTCATGGGCTTCCTGATCTCCCGCTGCACATCTTTGTTCAGGGAAAAGGGATGCTTAATAGCCACTCGGGTAGGAAAATGGGATCTTATATTTACAGTCTCCTAGATTTCTCCAGATTTCTGTTCATAGGTGTGTAGGATAAACTGCCTGCTGTCTGCATTCGATGGGCTATTTGCATTTAACATCCCCTGGAACACTTTATGGGTCCAGTGGATTCAAATCACCCACTCAGGTCCCTATGCAAATCTGAGCTCCAACCCAGCAATTTCATAATAGTTAATGAACTGGTGAAAAACTTCTTACCCTCGGTACTTTTTTCTTTTTGCTAACCCCGTGTTTCTCCCTGGAATGACCTGTCTGGCCGTACTGGCCGCTGGGACCAGCTGCAGCAAAGCAAGGAGTCTTAGAGGGGGGAGTGGGGAAGAGGGACATCAGTGTCTCAAGTATTTTAGGTGTTTGGGAGACTTGGGGCTCCCAGACCCTCTACCTTGGGGTGCTGGTCCCTACGGTAGGGGCTCAGCTCCAGAGCCGGCTGGCAAAGGGCTCTGCAGAGCTTGCAGGGAAGGTCGGTGGGATGGGGGCACAGGCACGGGCTGGCGGTGTACGGCAAAGTAGCCGGAGGCTGCGCGTCCCCTTCCCTGCCCATCTGCGATGGATGCGCCCGAGCTCATCTCGGGGACGTGGGACCTGCTGGTGTGGACGTGGGGCACGAGTGGTCTGTGGGACGCTTGTCTCAAACTGCACTCGAGGGCCAGGCTAATTGCGGGAGATGCAACCAAGCCCTTCTCCCCACGGCTCGTAGCGGGTGCAGCCGTTTCCTCACTGCAAAACTCAATTGCCTAGGCAAACGGTCTGCAATTATGAAGGAAAAATGATCTAAAAGGATTAATTCCGTATTTTATCAGCAGAAGTTTCTCACCTTTTTTAAAAATAGAAATGAAGGTCTGTTTTGTTCTTTTTTTTCTTTTGGCAAACCTGCGAGATGTTTTAATGCTGGCTAGTTCTGCAGGAGGCGAACGGATGGGATGTGTCTGGATGTGCATATTCCTGCTATCGCCTTTCAGCAGAAATGCCAGTCGATGTGCGGTTTTTAAAAGCTGTGAGGTCAGGGCTGTGCGGAGGGGGCAGTTGGGTGAGAAGCGGCCGTTTCTGGGGTACCCCGTTCACAGGGAACGGGTCCAGTTTCAGAGAGGCAGGGACAACAGCAGCAATACATTGGAAGCAGAGTCTATTTTTATGCAGAAATAAATAGCCATGGGATTTATTTTTCCAGTTTTATTCCATCCAAACAGATGAGTGAGATGTTGCTATTTGTCCGACAGCTTCCAGCTGCCACAAGTTCAGAGCTGGAGCGGTACCTCTGCCCGAGAGAATTCCTGGCCGCTCCCTATTATAAATAGCAAGATATTTATTAGTAGTGCTGTACTAAAGCAGAAAGCTTATCAGCTATGCAGTGTTGTTGTTAGGTTTATTAAACAAGTGGGTAGGGTACTAATTTATCTCCCTTATTTTTAATTTTCATCATTAATATATGGCTCGTAAAATTTGGCTTGCACTGCTGCTTATCTCTTCTAGTTATGCTCTGGGCTCCTGAGCAAACGGGTTCATTGTGGGAGTGAAATGTTCAGCCTGTTCAAACAGGGCTGTTGGCTAATAAAAACCAATATTGGCTTATAAAATAATATCCCGCTCTCCTAATCACCTGAGAAGAGAGACATTCACGGGTCTGGTCGGAGGGATGGGAGCTGTTGATAAATACTGGCTTCAAGCCCAGCCGCTGGCTCTGCCGTCCCCCCGCAGAGCCCCAGCGTGGGCTGGATGGTTGTAACCAGGAGTGAGACCCTCTCCAGAAGCGGGCAAGCAAACAGCAGCGTGTGCCTGCCCAGAGAACCGGCCCTTCAGGATAAGCTCAAGATTTGCCTGTCCTGGTAATCCATTAATCAAATAATTGACTAACCCGCTGACGAGCACACGCGGACCGGTAACCTGTGGGAGCGGTGGGATGCGGCCGCGCTCCGGCAGATGTGGAGGCGTTTCAAAGGCTCGGTTTAACGCCTGGGGTTGGGTTTTCTTTTTTTCCCTTGTGAGCCTGGTCCCAGACTTTCCCTAAGGCAGGCTGATGGGAACTCCATGAACGGCCCCTGCCCTGTCTCCTCTCCTTCTTCCCAGCCCTCTTCCCCTACCAGAGCTCAGGGGGAGGCTTCCCAAATAGATGGGGGCATCCCCAAAAGCCCTGTGGTGCTGGGCACACCTGGCTGCCTCCTGCTCGCTGAGCGAACGAAGCTCTCGGGGCAGCAGGAGAGGGCTTGGTCTGCACCCCAAGATCCTGCTTCTGCACCGGGGTGGGCTCTCCCCACGGATCGCTTTGGTATTTGTAGTGACCCTGTGCCAACCCTCGCCATTCTGTCCCCTTTCCTAATCTCATAACCTCCGTCGCTGCTGCTGCTGCTTTCAAGCCCATCTCATCCTGTTTTGTCCTCACTGATCTAGATCTAGTTTAATAATTCCACTTATTAATGGAAATTATTCCATTAATAATTAATTTTTTTCCCCTACAAAGAGACCTTCACTGTGTGTATCTGTAGAGAGTTGTCTTGTGTCTTCCCCTCTTTTTCTCCTGTTAAACTTTCCTGTCCAGTCCTGAAATTTGTCATTTTGGTCGCTAAGTTGTTCCTTTCCAAAGGGCACTGTCCTTCCAGGCCCCGCAGCTCCTCGTAAGGGTGGGAAACCTCCTCGGTGCTGCTAGAGCTCCAGACAGTGCCAGGATCCTCCGTATTTTGGAGATCTCTGTGGCAAAGCATCTCAGTTGTCTGAGTAAACCCTTCCCATGCCCATTTGTTCCTTTTGTCCTTCGTTACATGTTATGTCCATCACTATTCCCAAGTCTCATCTGATTTCAGCCCATTTCTTTGTGCTAGAGGCAGGGGTGGGCAGGAAAGGTGCTGCCCCGGTGGGAGCTGATGGTGCGGGGACTTCCCTGATGCACCATCCCTGCGGCTCGGCTCCCTCTGGCCATCCTCTGCTGCTTCTTTACCTCCCTGCCTGCCAAGCATCCTCTCTCTACCCCCTTTTTTTTTTAAAAAAAAAAACTTTAAAATTACCTTGAGCCCTTCTCTACTTTCCAGGCACATTTCTGGGTGAGTTCAGTATCCCGGGCTTGGCTGGGAAGTTGACAGCTTCCCCCTGAAAACACGGTGTAGTCCTGGCCCTGTATGAGCCCTCCCCATTGCTGATGCAAAGGAGAGTTTAAAATCACTGTGTTTTGTGGTTTGTTTTTTTTTTTTGTTTTGTTTTTCTCTCCTGCTGATTTCAGCCCGAGGGATTACGGAAACAACTCCCATCTTCATGTACCCCCACGGGACCTCAAGCAGTCAGATGGTGCTCAGAGGGGTGGATCTCTTGCTGGAGTGCATTGCTTCAGGAGTGTACGTACCGCATCCCGGCAGCTGGCGGAGATGGGGAGAGGGTGGTCCCCAGCCGTCCCTGGTGGGATGGCCTTGGGACCAAGATGCTGAATCACCAGTGGGAAATACCTCTGGCTAGGAAAAGGGATCATTCCCTTCCTTTTAACTGCAATTAACAATACTCTCATCACCTACTTGAAGCGTAAGAGCATGGAGCAAACAGGAGAGCTGAGTTTTCCAGCACTGTTCAGAGAAGCAGGTGTCTTCGGATACTTGCTGTCCAAGGATAATTCCTCACTGGTTTGCCCCTATAGCTATTTGCAGATCTCCTGGGTGCTCCTCACCACACCATATAAACTGGGTGGGGTGGGGACATTTGCGATCCATGTGCCTGCAGAAGCACCCTGGGCTCGGGGTCAGATTTTGGGTGTGCTGCCTGCCCACGCTGCCAGACCAGCGCCCTGCATCCCCAAGCACAAGGTGTGAGATGGACCCCGCTCCTGATCAGCTGGTGATGCTCCAGGTCCTGATTTAGGAGCTGTGGTAGGAAGGAGGGTGGCCCAGCAGTTGGATCAGTCCTTCTCCCTGGGTGTGAGCGGTTCCAAGTGCAGGATTATCAACTGTTTTCTTAGGAGTAATTTTCTGGTCTTGCAAAAGCATTTATCTCCTCTCCTCTCCTTAGACCAGCACCAGACATCATGTGGTACAAGAAAGGAGGAGAGCTCCCAGCAGGCAAAACCAAACTGGAAAACTTTAACAAGGCTCTTCGTATTTCCAACGTCTCTGAGGAAGACTCCGGGGAGTATTTCTGCTTGGCGTCGAACAAGATGGGCAGCATCCGCCACACGATCTCGGTGAGAGTGAAGGGTACGTCATCTTTACCTTGCCGTCTTTTTTTACCTTCGCAACCAGAAGCTGTGAGGGGATGTGCACGGGAGGGGATGCTCTGAATTATTGAAAGGGGGCTGTGGGGGCTGTCTCTGTGCAGTACCCAGCCATCCTTGCTTCTTGTCCAAACTGACCTAAAAGCAGTGTGAGACATGATCTCAGCTGGTGTAACTCACTGATATAAATGGTTGCGGTTTTGTGTGGTCAAAGCTGGGGGGGAAGGAGGACTCCCCACCCTCGCTGCACCCAGGGGAGCCCACTGGA